CCAAGCCTATGGCATCGTTCAATGGCGGATGTCGTTACCTCAAGGTTTTTCTGAAAACATTCTGTTACTTCATTCAGTAGTTCCTCGTTAGATTCTCTAGCAGGTTCTTCTATTCCATATATAATTAAGTTAATCCTGCGGGATCTGTTTTCGAGATCATCAACTTTCGATACAGGCATACAAATTTGTTCAGCGCGTTGTGACATAGCAATCTCGATACCTTGTACTTTACTTGTCAGGGTAGCTAAAGCAGATAACTGTGCTTCAACCCCTTCTATGCGCTGAGTTAAATCAGAAATTTTTTTCTCGATTCCAAGTTGAGAGCACGTTATGGCGTCAAGCGAGGCAGTAATTTGTGCCTGACCATTTAACAGTTCTGACAACATCTGCTCTGTAGGACCTGGGTTTGCCTCTACATCCCCGCATCTCAACAGATCTAGCGGCACAGAACAAACAGCAGAAATTACACCCCTTAAACGAAGTGGGCAGGGCAGCAGCACCAGAAATGGGTCATCACTACGAAAACACTGAACGCATGAATAATTACAAACCTGCAGCACGAAGCGAAAAAGGTTGAGCATCATGCCAGGAATGCTGCTGCCAAGCCCACTGGTGAAGTCCCGTTCCGCTGACGCTCTTATAGCCGGCGATTCTCTCACGTGAGGTGACGTCACCGAAGATAGCAACCATGTTGAGTCATTGGAGTGCAGCAGACACAATCCATCCAGGGCGAAGTTATCACCCTCCGAAGATGACACGCAGCCAAAGGCCACGAGTCTGTGCGCATGCGTCGTCTGCGAAGCGTAGTAGTGCGGCCACGAAGAGGCTCTCAGCAGAACGGTGGCAGCCTGCAGCACAAAGCAGGCCATGGTTTATTTGTGCGATAGTGGTTACATCAACGGCAGCGACAGCGGCAGCGGACAACTACGGCACTTCGCGTGACTCGAGTTTTGATCTCATACTTTCCCTGTAATAGTGTTGCAGGACCCTTTTGAACAACAATCGCGAATTGGAGCACGTGTCGGTTTGCGTATTCTCTTCATCCGCGTTCGTTTAGCGCCATACCTATTTTTCACATGTTTGGAGACCACTACACCATCACTATGCTGTATTAATTGGCGAGAGTACTTCTTGTCTCCAGTAAAACAAATCAATTTTCACGAATTTCAATCTCATAACCTTGTAACTAAATTAAAGTGCTGTAGAAACTTACGACTAGGGAGTTCATCTCAGCCTTATTATTTTGCCAAGGCAAGTATAAGAAATAGTAAGTCACTACCGAAGCTCTACTTCAATAATGGCCGCTTTTTTCTGATTTATTAACCTAATCATAGAATAAAATAAATATTTTTCTAATCACAATGCCTATTAGGGAGAAAAATTATGATTCCTTAGTATGCAAGTGGCATACATAGCCGCACGTGACATACATAGCCGGAAAAGACACCGTTGGTCTAGTTTAGTTCTGCGTAGCTGCAACATGAAATTAGTGCATGAAAGATGGACCCAAAAATGGGACTGATAAGGAGAACCGCAACTGACAGTTGTTTATTATGAAAACAGAAACACCCAGCGAAAGATAAACACTCTATTGCGCATGAGCCAATATAATTGATGAAGGAGCATCAAAAATATTATTACGAAACCAAATATTCAAAAGTCATGCGAATTGTAATTGTAATCTGAGAAAACCACGTCTAGTAAAGCCACGGTGACTGTGAGTCATTTATAATTGCGATGTAAATATTTGACTAGGTTGTGTAACACAGTCTATCTGTGTCTCCATGCGAATGCGTCACTGTGCGTTGCCTCCACCGCAGTTGTTGAAACGATGAAAAGTAGATCAAGTCGTAGCTGGGCATTGTCGTCACTCCCTCCCTCTTCGCAACAGCTGCCGGCTCATCACAACACACCTAGGTGGTTTTGCTTCTCCGCCTGCTCGCAAGACAGTTTTATCACGCTTCACCCTCTCCGTCTCCCGCAACACTCGACCAAACGTCGAGTGGAAACACTAGAGAGGATTAGAATAGCGCACCGCAATCTCTTGCGGTGTGGTCACTACCACTTCGCATCCTTCGTAACACGAGCCGTTATTCGCGCTTGTGGTCCGCCCTCAGAAAATGCAAATAGGGTGCGGTGCGTGTGGCCCGCAAAGCGGTAGTTTCGAGGATATGACTAGCTTCCGTGCATTTGGCTTTGCGGCGGGGGGGGGGGGGGGGCTCAGCTTTTTAGATTATTTCTTAGGGGAGGGTTGGGTGCTGGGGGGCAAATGCCATTCTAAATTTTTTATTGCGCCCACTACACCTGTAAGGCCACTAACAACTGTGAACTATATTATAAACCTCCCTAAACTTTCAGCTCAATATTCTGCATAAACGTTTGCTCGAGTAAAGGCTTCACCGAGTTTTCCTTCAAACCATTTTTCCAGCACCCGCGTCAACACAAGTTTCAGCCGGTTCAACAGCGTGCGCACCGCTGCTGCTTCGCATCCCATCATGGTTACAGTCAGGGAGATGGTCCATATTTTTTTTACGAAAGTAGTGTCTAAATGTAACTGAGAAGTAAACTCGTACCACTTCTCAAAATCATGGTGCCTTAGATTCATGGCTCGCAACCGCATGCAGTCACACGCGCAACCAAATTTGGGTACTTATGTTGCCTCTTAGCTGTTGGGGCATACTAATCAACAGTTATCAGTCACGCCTCACCTGGCTTCTCTTCTTTGCTTCTGTTTTTCTCCCGCTTATGGCACTTTGTGAATCTATAAACCTCTAGTTGTGCAATTCTTTCGCGATAACATGTCTGTGTGTAATGTACAGTTCCACTATACATTAAGGTTTTTTTTTGAGTAAACGCAAGAACTACACGAACAAAGAGTTCACTAGAACTATGTTTCTTTGCTGTTTTTTTACCTATATATTAACATCGAATAGAGGCGAGCGCAGCGAGAGCAAGTTTGCGTACGTCCCACTTTACCAGGATGCAACAGTGTGGCTCTTGACGCGCACAAATACCGCGGCGCAAGCGAGCACCGAGTTGAGCAGAGTTCAGATGGAATGAAAGAAAGATGCGATGCGAGTGTAATTATCTGTTTACTGCAAAAAGCTCATGCTACAAGGCTGAAATGCTATTGATGTAAGCATGCCTGTAACGTAGCCTGAAGTGCGTGCGACCGAGGTGCAGCCAGCACAAGCGTACACGCCCTCACGTTCTACGCACTCTATGCGGCGATGCAGCGAATGATGTCACACTTCCAATTACACTGAATTGAGACGAGTGGCACCCACATGTAAAGGCTACTGTTTACACATAGCTGAGCAACAACCACTTATTTCTAGCCCCATTTTCAGCCTAGCTAATGATAACCTTCGGTAAATAGGAACCTTTCAGTTTACCTGATCACGTGCTGCACGTAGTAAATATACTGCCACTTCGCTCAGCACTCTGGCCCTATACGTGCCCACCAAAGATTGCTGATTCGAGCCTGTGCCACTTCAGAAGCAACTGTAAACGTCGATAAGTTGATCTGGTTGGTAATGTAGAGGTGCTTGTTATCCCTGAAGCGATCAGAGTGTGATTTGTACACCTTTGTACATCTGTGGTTTCGCTGCATACTTCATGTTGAGGAGACAGACACCGTGACAACCACTTAGCTGGAAACTGAAACTGGTGATAGTATATTGTTCATACAATAGACAGTTATAGTTTAGCGTTATCGTGATAGCGTAGGTTAAAAGAATGGCGTTACCGTGCAGCAAACGTTCGTTGTGGGCAGCGTCTTATAGTTTAGCGGGATACAGTTTACGTGGTTTACGAGCCCCATCTTGGATGGTGGCGCCACCCATTAAAAATTTAATAAGTTAAGCGGTGAAAATCAAAAGAAAACGAGAGTGTTTGCCTATGCCACCGCGAGAATCATTGTTAGAAGTTTATTTCACTGATAATAAAAGTAAATAAATATGAGCCGCGCGCCAAACGCGAAAACATTTATGTTGCCGATTTGTTTACATTAATGTTGTAGTTACGCCTAGACGCGTTCAAAATGGGAAGCTATCTCAAAAACTACGCCAACGTATCCGTACTACTCGGTCATCGAAGCTAACTGAAGGCAAGCGAAGCCACTTGGAACAGTCGTTTGCTGCCAACAAGGTGAATCTTCCGACAACTATGCCAAAATCGCTTCGAAGCGGGCGTCCGAGAGCGCCGCCATGTTTACGTACATTACACACGCCTAATATACGCTACCACGGTAACGTGAAATTTGAAAAACACCGTGCGTACGGGAAGCAGTATGGGTGACGTATGTATCTGCGCATGTGCACTTCGATTCCGGTATCACGGTACACCCGGTCACCCGGTAAGCCTGGTGTATATAACTCACTAATAATACGGAACGCCTTACTCGCTCTTTTATTTTGTCTGTAGGTCGATTTAACTAACTCATTCATCTCTTTTGAAGAATAGCATGTCACACGTCCTTCAACAAAAGGGCCTTTGATAGTATTCCAATATATTGCTTCTACCTCGCCGAAGTCCTCTGATTTGTTTATCGCGAAGCGTGCGCGATTACATAACCTTCAGGAAAGAACAATACAGGACACAAACTTGGTGACATAGCTAGTTCAACATGTCGAACGAAATTTTCAAAAAGAAGGACGCAGGCTACATAGGTCCGTACAAAATCTATTTTATTTATTTCGAAGCTGCACACAACGATGCGCTGCTGAGTAAAAAACGCACTGGAAAATAATATGTGCGAATATTATGGACATTGTATAAGATATTTTCTACGACAACAACATGGAATCGGTAGTGAACAGAAATAGGCTACAGTTGCGACTGGCAGCCTGCTGCTTGGCGTAAACCACAAGGGAAAGTTTTTTGCTGGGGCGTGTAACCAAAAATGATCACAAATCTTACCTGGCTCAAATAAAGACAACGAAAAGAGTAATATGGCGCTTGCTTACTAGCTGAGTCCACCACTTGTTTTTCAATTGCAGATTAACAGATTTCCCCGTGGAAAAGTCTTCGGAGGCTCAAGTTCAATCAATCACGTTATATATACAAGGGGAAACAGGAAGGACTTCGACAAATGGGCAACTCACTATGGTGCCGAAGGCTGGTCTTACGCCGATGTCCTGCCGGATTTTATCGCTATTGAAAAATCCTACTTAGGTATCGAAAACGGTAAGGAATGTCTTCACTACGTACGATATGTGAATGCTCTTACAGTTACATTTATTATTACCAGTGAATTGATCTCTTGATTTCGCATCCAGTCTTGCTTATTGAGAGGAAAGCTATATGGGGCTCGTCAAACGCACAAATAGACCTTCTACGGCATCGGCACCTGCACGAGTTGTACGAAAAATCCTTGCTGAATGACATTGCTATACGACGTTATGAAGATTCCGCAGATCACAAAATTCGTGGCGTGAAGCGCATGACGTGGCGTTAATAACTGATAACTAATTTATCTCCTTGGTCAAAGGCAGACTGATTCCGGTGGCACTGCAAGACCACGTCAGCTTGCAATGCTTCCAATTCACGTTAGGCGCAGAAAGCTTTCCGTTGGAGGGTAGAAATGTGCATCACAGAGCATAAAACGTGGAGGTAGCATAAGCGCGATTCACCTTCAAGAGTGAAACGCGATAGTGCAGTCTAGCATAGTTCACATCAACTTCCCAATCACTAGCCTCGTATTGTTTCTTGGTGGACATTTCGTCGCTGCCGCAAATAAAAAATACTCTGTGAGTGCACAAACAAGCTTTGGAAACTATCCACAGCATGTCTACTGCTGGGCTTATACACTTGCCAAGTAGCTACTACATCATAAATCCATGTTTTGCGAATCAGCGAAGTACCCGCTATATGTCCGTAAGGTTACACGTGGACCTATGAAGCGTTGAACATTGGTAATGCATTTTATAATGAAAGTGACCGAATATGTCTAAGTGCTTTCTAATGAGTTGGCCTTTAACCCCTTAATTTTTTTGCAATACGCATGTCTTGATACCTGGCAAGATTTTATGCATCTGGCATGCAACATTACGTGTGCTAAGGTTTGAGACATGAAATTACGTGGCATTCGATGGTATTGTCATAATAATTTTTAGCAAGCAGTTCCATGCAATTGTACACACTTGTGGTAGAACACAGTCCATCGGGGCGCCTTAAGGCTTCTCACTTGAACCTCACGGGTTCAATACCGGCCGTGGCAGTCACATTTTGGAAGAGGCAAAATGACAGAGAGCTTTGTACTGCCCAATGTAAGTGCATGTTGAACAGCACCAGATTGTCAGAGTTTCTGTAGCCGTCCAATGCATCGTTTATCATAACCTGATCATAGGTTTCGAATATAAACCTCAGTCAATAGTATGATTTTCGTGCAATACTTACTTGCGACGTAGCAAGACCCCGGTTCAATTGCCACTAAAGTCATTTTTAATTACTCATTCATTTACATCTATTCCGAACTTTTTGCTTAAGTCGGTGAAGTACGACGCTGATATTTTACTCATAGTCAATGAAGCCTTCACCAATACCTAATGGTAGTATCTATGATACATGAACATTACCAATACCACATCAACATATATCAATTTGCGGTCACATCCCATCTATTTGGCAACCACCACTGAGTCTTTATTATTACGCAGTATTGTATGTCCGTCACCATAACTATGCTGCTTTGAAGTGCTACCAGACTCTGTGGAAGCTGTACAATGTTGAAATAACCACGCGTATAGAATTGTACAGGGACACTCAATTGGGTGTTTCAAAATACATATAATATCTACAATATAAGGATAGCTCAATATGAAAATGATTGTAGTAGTGGAATACTAGCAAATGCATTCATAAGCCAGGGAAAAATATCTGGGTAAACAAGCACAAGAAATCTTATACCGGAATACTTTACTGGTGGGGGTGGGGGGTGCTGATGTTCCACAACGACAATAACAGGTGCTTTATAATACTGGTATTTATGTCGCGAAGCATAGAGATATCGAGGATACCGCACATATCACAAGCTACCACCAGATAAAAAAAGCGGTATCTCTGCTCATGTATTTTACCCCGATGAGTTTGGCTATTATTGCCGAAACTGCACTTCAACAAAAGCAGCTGCTCAAATGGGCTGTCGTCTAGGCAACGTCGGTTAGGTTTCTACAAAACTTCGCCAAATGGCTGGCCATCCCCCTTAAATAGAAGTGCTGGACCGGCCTTCAGATGCACCGACTTTCGCCTTGAAAGACGACCAATGCGGATTTAAGTAACATAACATGTAGGCAGTGGACACTTGACAACACTGGTCGTTTAGTAGACATGGAAGCCGGTCGCCTTCTCTGTCTCCAACTAGACGAAAAATTTGCTGGGCATAGAAAAAACTTCATTTCCTCAAAGAAACACGACAGTTCATTTCCGACAAACAGTACAAGTAGCGAGTAAGATGCGTCCTACCTAGTATAGCGGTGTAACCGTTTCATCGTAAAGTGTTCAGTGCTGATATACAAATACATTTTTTTGGAACTTGCAAATACATGCACACTCTCAACTGAATTTTTGCCGTCACGGGTTATTGCCAGTGCCATCGCTGCCATGTTGTGTAGAAGGTTAAAATCAATAACATCGCGACGTTTACCACATGTTCTATCTGGGAGCAAATTGGACAAGCACTGGCGAAGAACGGGGCTGAAAGGGAGATGAAATGAGAGGAGCCGGTCGTCTCAGTCACATGGATTCTGCATGTGGTAGTATTACTGCACTTGCCGTGTCTCGTTGGAGTGCTCCTAAACCATAGAAAAAACAACGTCCGACCCTTATTTCGTGGTTGAAGCAGCACGAATGTACAGCGGAAAGAATGGATGAGGGGGGGGGGGGGCAGTCGCTTTAGCAGCATTTGCAAATGCGAACTCCGATCATAAAGGTCAGATCGAGAGCACTGGCACAGCGCTACCTTGCCGGACATCACCAAATGGCTCGCATACGTGCTTACTTGGCGTTGCATGGAGCCAGCTGCGACAGTCACATTTCGACGCTGACATTGTGTTAGAGGCCGTGCACTATGCGATGCCAACACACGTGAACGAACAGCGATGGATGTATTTCAGTTCACTTACCTGCTTCGCGCATAATGATTGTGCCGCGGTTTCTCACGTGGTAAAGCTAATATATTATTATTATTATTATTATTATTATTATTATTATTATTATTATTATTATTATTATTATTATAACTTCTACACAGACAAGACAATCTATGCTGCATACATAGAGATGCCTGAACAGACAGCTACAAAATATTATGAGAGGACGAGCCTTTGAACTTGGATACAATACTAGCGGGGTGTAATTGCTAGTTACCGGCAGCTGTACGGCGGCTCGCCTTCTGCCGTTCACAGCCTGCCGTGCGCAAACGGCTTCGTTCGCGCCCGCATGCCGCTCTTTTCCGTTCAAAGAAAAGCTCTGTGGCTTGCCGTGCAGCGACGTGGCCAATCAGCACGGATGAGCTGCATCGATGAGCAGCGTCGTGTGCTTTCGGATTTCCCCGTTTTCGGCATAGGCCACCTCACGTATAGATATGCTTGCTTTTGAATGCCAATGCATTTCTTAGTTGGGACATTTCTGGCGTCCATCGGTGTCTTCACGCCGGAAGGTGCCAACTCTTTACTCTTACTCTCTCTCCCATGGCAACAGCTGTGGGCGCGTGCGCTTATTTTAGCCCCTAGCAACCGGAGCAGCTGGCGCGAGCGGAGTAGCGAACAGTGTGTAGACAGCAGGAGGGTGCTCTGGCCTGTGAGGGCACTCACATCGCGGTAGCTCTGCGGACACTCTAACTATGTGAAGAGAGTGTAGCAAAGGGTAGGTGCAGTGTTTTCCCACTCTCCCATCCACTCAATCGTAGGTACATATAGAGTTAAGCGCGGCCCTTACTCTCGCCCATTCGCTGGCTGATGAATCTATAAATCAATGGTTACGGTGCAAATTCTCGTCTCATCAATAATTTGTGTCATAAAAATTGCGACGCTATGTCCTCTTTAGCGCGAGAACTGAAATGCATTCGCATTTCTTCCCGATTTCCTTCGCGGAGGTGGGAGCATTTTTTTTTGACTGAGCAGTTTTTGCTCTAAAGATTCGGATGTTTTCCATGTCGTTGCCATGCTTTTCCAGCAGCTCAAGCGTTTTAGCTTGTCGGGTATTCAAAAAGCGCAACACAAAATAAATAATGAGTCCCTAAGTTTGCAGGTGGAGAAGTTGCTCCACCTTTTCACAATTAGAAACAACTACAGAAAGCATATTTTATACCCTCCCTGATTCGGAAAGCACCCTGCACCACTTGCCAAGCTAAAACACCAATTATTTGAGTGTGGCTTTAAGGACGTTAAAACTTCTTTTCGGGTACTGTGTTCTCAAAGCTTGAGGACGTGAGTCCAAAGCTAATGAAAAAATGAGCTCGGAGCTTACAAGGTACAGAGCACACGGCGGCTGATTGACAGATTCGAGGTGATCGACAACAGTGTTCAGAAGTGCGGCCATGTTTTTTGGAAGCTCGAGTGCCTCGCCGAGGAAGCTTGCCGTACACTTACGGATAGCTCAATCGCGGGCAGCTGCCGCTGACAGGTCGCCGACAACACGCCGTTAGGGCCGGTTCGTGCTAGCGGCAAGCATGCCTTGCTGTTTGACGTTCTCAGGCAGCCATGCGCGGCTGTTTGCTTCGCGCACATCTGCCGTTATTTGCCGTTCGAAAATGGGTCCGAGGCCCATTTTTGTGCCGTTTGCAAGAGAGTGGCTTAGCGAATCAGCGATGTAGGAACTACATGGCTGAGGCACGTCGTCTGCTTTCACCTTTCCACATTGTCTGTGTCTTCCGCTGGAAACTTCGAACTGCTTGCTTCTTGATCCGCGGTTTTCAAGATATGTTGGGCGTCTTGTTCCCAGACAACGTTTCAGCAGTAAATAGAGCATTTTTGCCTGTGCAGCGCACAGCAATTCAAGATGACGTCCCAAAAGCAGTCGTTTGAACAAGTGGCACCAGCACAACAACACACAAACGTGTATTGGGAAGGCTTGCTTAGGCCTAGAGCATCAATTACTTAAGAATGATTCTCAAAAACGGTGCTAAATTGACTCGTTTTCTTTGTTGTCGAAGCTAAAACGCATGAGTTTAAAGCGAATGGGAGCAT